CCTTAGAGTATAGCTTTTATGAGAAAAATGATTTTATAGTGGGTTGCCATTTAAAAAAATTAATTTTTTTGTAGAACTCAAAAATAAAAGGAAATTTCGAAAAAATTTATTCTTGTTAAATCATCATATTTTTATAGTACTTTAGCAGTCATCAATTAGTTTTTTCAAAAAATAAATATTTTAAGCAAAAAACGTTTGGTTCCATACTTTTTATTCACCTGGTATATAAATTTAAAAACTTGATTGGACGCTGGAAAAAGATAAAACTTCAGACATGTTTAAAAAACAAGTTATTTTATGTTTTAAATATTGTCTTTGAATACATAATGAAAACAAAACAACAATTTTTGTCAGTATAAAAAAACCACTTAAAGATTTTTTTAAAACCAAATTTTGTACTCGTATTATACTAATGTGTCTATTAATTTAAACTAGTTTTATATTTTATTGTAAATTAATAGTGTAGGTATTATGTTATTAGGAATAAAAGTAATAGTTTACGTGGCAAGGCTGAATGTTTATTTTGACAAACGTAGTGAGGCAAATAATTCAGCTGAGCCACATAAACTTAATTTTATTTGCAAATGTATTCAGACTGCAATACTGCAATTAGCAAGTAAATAAACAAAATAATCAGGACGCTTTGCAAGTAATTAAATCATAACAACGCTTATAAACCAACACCGCGCGTCAGTATCGGAATTTGTGTTAAAGTTTTCAAAAGTGTTAATTTAACTAGTGCAGTTAGTAGTGCAAAATGTCGAGTGCTGATGATCTACAATGTATCTTTTCAGAAATTGCTGAAACAGGAAAAGAGACATTAGTAAATGTCAATAATGTCATATTAAAAGGCGTTTTTTCAGGTTTTGGTTTCTTTTACTCGTATAAACTAGTAAATTTTATAAGCTGCTTTTTGCAGCTTTAAAAATTTCTGAAACGTGTTTTTCCAAATAAAATTATTTTGAGGCACGTCAAATAAAAAGAAGTTTCTGGTACTCTGGTAATTAAGATTTTGATCCTATTATTGATTTTATGTCTGATTTTCTATTGCTTAGTCTACGTATTAAGCCTAACTTTCTGACCGCTAGCAATTTCCTCTAAAGCTGAAGCTCATGATATTAGATAATCTCGCATTACTGAATTTCTACACGTCCTCTTGTAAATTCCATATTAATTTAGCTACAAAACAAAAATCCCTAAATGCCTCGAAGCACGTCTCTCAGCATCCTGTCCAATGTAACGAGATATTAGTTTGGAAGGAGATTATTGGTGAAAGGGTCTTCCTCTCCATCGATTGTCGCTTTAATTCATAATCCAACTAAAACCCGAAATTTGACCCTTTAGCACCTGAATAATTTTTCACCGTTACATTTGATAATTAGATGATAAACCTCAAGGGATGACCTCGGTGTTTTCACGAAACAATTAAACGGAATTTATCTGTTGATTTCAACCGGCAATAAATTACTCCGTTTAGCTTTTCACCGACATTTTCTAGTTAGGAAACTGCACAGCAATCTTTTTTACTTCTTCCGAGCCATAAATTCGCAGAGGGTTGCTTCTAATTAGCGCTCGAATTTCCCGCCGTTTTCGGTCGATATTTAATTCGCTCGTTACGAGTCAAATTAGGTTTTTCTTCGACGACATCGACAGGCCGTTCATAATTGATAACTCCCGAAAACCGGAAAAATCCCGACTTGTTAAAACTTTTCCTCGCTCGACTAATATTCTTACGCAAACTTGGGGTAATTTGTCAAAGGGTGAAGCGTTCAAGGGACAATTTCGTTATCACTTTGGTTACAACATCCGGATTTATAATTGAAATGAAAAAAAAAAAATAAAAAAACGAACAGAGTGGACACTACATAAACAAAACAGAACTTTTAAACTGAAACAGAATTTGAGTTTTTCGGTTTTAGATGCATTTTTGCAACTCATTGTGATGGAGCAGTGTTTTTTCCATTTTTTGGTCAATTTTTACCAGGAGCTTAAACAAACTTCATTTATTATTATTCCAAGTCATAATTCAGCCATCATTACCATTAATGTGGGCACGTTAGCGTCGCTCGGCGTTAAAACTAATTTATTACGGGCCTGTCTAATTTACACCGACTGGGGTCGTTTTGTGTTTTTCCTCTCTGGCCGCCTTATGTTTTGTCATAGGGGATGAATGGTAATAATGAACAGTTACGCAATTACGGTCCTGATAAAAGCGTATGTGTGCTTCCGTATGTTTAGAAATTTGTCGGATCGTTTAAAATGAATAATGGCGGCCTTTTGGTTTGGTACAAAGCGCAGGGATGGACTCGGCTTTTAACGCTGATAATAAAGCGGATGAAATCCTAGAGGAATTGATTGATGAATCATTTTTGTGTACGCATTTAAAATTGGAGGGTTGTGTTTTTGCATTCGAGTAAATAATTTTTATCGGCGCAAAAAGGTATTGTCAATGTTTTGATTGTGAAGGTTTTATTTCAAATCGAAATTTTAGCCGGATTTGGTCAAATATACTCGTGAAAAATTTACTTTTTAATTTAAGGTTAAATACAGGCTGACCCAGGGGTGCGTGCAAGCTCCATAACTTTTTTTCTATTCAAGCTATCAACTGTTTTTTTTAACGATAGGTCCTACGAGTATAATGAAACACATTTCTAAAATACCCCAAAATAATATACACAACTAAGTTCTGTTTATTAAATTAAAACCCCCAATTTTTGTCATATTTTTGAATTTGCCACTAAATTGTCAATATAATGCACCCAGTTTCTTAGAATTGTTTGCAGTGGTTTATGACTTACAGCTACATTAAAAAAAACGGGAAATGTCAAAAAAAAAGATTTTTTTCATTTTTCCATGGTGTAACCGCGAAAATAGGTTAAAATATTTTCATGGCATATCAGTTAAAAAATAAATTGGATATATTTAAACAAATTATACAGGATGTTCCGTCTAAACCCCACATTAGAAGTATTGGAAGTTCGAATAATCGTATTTATTTGTAAATTGGTACATAGCCCTAATCCATTAGGTCCGCTTAAATGAAAATATTTTTAAGATGGTGGCACTTCCGGTTATACCGGAAGTCGGTCTCAACTTTCTTATTTTAAATAGAAAAGTATATTTCTTACTGCGTTTTTGGATTAATCGGCTTATTTCAAGGGAGTTTTCATCAGCTTTTTCTATACCTAAATTTAGCCGTTTTCGAGTTTTTCAAAAATTTCACTTCCAAATTAAAAATCGGTAACTCTGCCATTTTTTAAAGTTTTGAATTCGTTTTTTTGGCGTTTGAAAGAGAAGGTTTAGATCTTTCTTCTGGTGTTTTCAAATTTTGAAAAAAAATTAACAAACACCAAAATTTTAACGTTACTTTTGTAATAATTCAAATACCCATAACTCATTTTTTCCAAATAAAA